CCCCCCCCCCCCCCCCCCCCCCCCCCCCCCTCCCTCCGCCTTCTTACCTCCGTCTCCGCGAGCTATGGTGAAGGGGGCTTTATCTCCACTGACAGGAGAAGACAGCTGGCCGACCGACCTTCCTTTCTGCCAGTGCCTGGTGGGAACATAATTTCACACACTGTGAGTGCCCTCATAGCCTATGCAGTATCTTCCAATACCCTCCTCTTTTTTCTTTTTCACGTGATGCAATGTAATAGAGGGACATCCGCTGACCCTTTTATTATATCCATCTTCATTAGGATTTCATCAGGATTTCATTAGAATTTGAACTCCCTCCTAACATAGTAGAGGGGTAGTACCGAAAGTATTAGAGGGGTAGCCCCTAACGTTGTTCGTATCACACCCCCCCACCCCCACCCCCGCCCTCCCCCGGGAAAAAAAAACTGTTTACTGACAGTCACATGTGCATAGTACTATATGCCATTCAGCCCTGTACGACAACCTAGACCTGGGCTAAATAGGGAATTCCTTCCGGTATGATCGATATACAATACCTGCTGCTAATCCTACCAGACACTGGGCCTGTCCAACTTGCTGGAAAATCCCTACTGTGCCCCTACAAATTGACCTACCTGTCCCTGGTTCGTCCTGCTTTTTTGTTGTTTTTTTGTCCTATTTTGCTGCCTATGTCGAACTGCTGCAGGATCTCTGTCCTTGCCCTGTGTCTACAAATGCTTACAGCTCTATCCCCTCCGAGGCATAGTACAACAGCACGAGCACGACGGTAAGACATCTATAGGACATCTGATTATCCTATCACTGACTTGGGCTGCCCTGTTTCCTTTCTCGGCTGCCAAATGAAACGTGTCTGGAGTGTATGTTTTGGCTGTGACAGACCTTTCTTTGTTTCGTGGGTGTTTTGCTGGCTTGTGATGGGGTGTGAACCGACAGTCTGTAGAGTTTTCCAACTGGTGTGGGTGAGTGACAGTCTTCTTTGATTCATAGCCGAAAGTTCAAGTAAGTTTGAGGCAGTACATTGAGGGCAGTGGTTGGTGACCACCTAAGGGTATCAGTTGTCGGGCAGTCGTTGATGCTTCACCACAGCCGGGGTTAAGGTGGATTATCACTTACAGTGTAATCAGTTAGGTGATTCTGCAGACTGTTGAGGGTTCAGCCTCTTGTTGATGAGTCAGTCGGCAAAACTCCGACGAAACAGTTTGTCACAGCCCCTCGTTTGTTGTCCTCTTCTCCCCCTCCCTCTCCTACGGCTTACCGTCGGCAGCTCCTCTGTTTGACGATATATATATATATATATATATATAAACTCCGACGAAACAGTTTGTCACAGCCCCTCGTTTGTTGTCCTCTTCTCTCTCTCTGCCTACGG